AGCTATTCTTCCTCCTTCTTGTGTTACCCTAATAGGAACATGGACATACAACCGAGAAGAGAACCTAGGTGTCAGCAGAGACATGAAGGAGTGAACATTTTTTTTTTTTTATTCTATGCCAGAAAGCTCTCTCAAATGAAGAAAACACTAAGGGAGAGAGACACCAATCTTGATGCCCTTGGCATTCTGGAAGGCCTGCCCCACACCCTAAATTACCACACCCCAAAGCTCCCTTCAGCCCAGTAGGTTGTTCTTTAATTTTCAGCAACTCTTCCCCACAGCAAAGAACCAATTTTTCCTTTCCTTTTAATTTGAATCTCTCTTCTTTATTTACTTGAAAATGAAGATATTACCCTCTTTCACTACCGGTGAAGAGAAAATGACCCATGTGAGGCCAGGGGGTAAGTGGGAGCTGTGAGGTCTTAGAGTAAACCATTAACTTTATACTTGAAGTAACAGAAAAATTTAAATGCCAGCCCAAGGTAGAATTTGGAAACAATGGAGGAAAAGAGGCGGAACTGCCTGGCATTAGACAATTGCACTCCTAGAAGTCTGTCCTGCAGACTTTCCTCCAATGAACCCTAATCTGGGGACAACACCAAGTTTCTTTAACTCCAAATTTGCTCCTCATATATGCTTAGGGTAGATATCTCTTTGACTATCCAATCACACCATTGAGTAGCACCATTTACATATACATACACACTCACCTAGAGTTTTTTTGTTTGTTTTTAATCAAGTCTGGGATCTGGTTTCCTCCCATTGAATCACTGGTGAAAAATTTGGGAAATGCAAGAAGAATGTCCTTGGAGTGGATCTCTTGGAGATAAGGGAACCTTTTCTCAGGTGCCTGGGTTCCCTTCTGGTTACTCTCCAGGCCCCTGGCTCGGCCTCCCCAGTGCCCATGAATAAGCAGGGGAGATCGGAATGCAGACCAGGCACGTGGAGCTCAGCCCACAGGGGCTGGCCATCTCTAGAGAAGCCGGACATTGGGCACTGGGCCTCCTGGAAAACCTGTCTTGCTGATTTTGCAGTTCTCCATCGTGACTGCTTTTCAGGCTAAGTTTTCACCAGCCTCTTGTCTCACCTCCTCTGACCCAAGCAGCAGCAGGAACTCATTTGCATGTGCTGGCCCCCTGGGCAGTGGCTTCTTGGCCACACCCTCTGCCTACCAGAGGGTGTGAGACTTGCCTGCGACTTGCCTGCCTGATGGTCATACTCTCCTCTATCCTCTATAGCACACCTGTGGGTCACCTTCTCTGGCCCTAGCATAAGAGTGGTGGGATATTGTGTACCTTACCTACTTAGAGTGTGAAACCCACACGTCAAGCTGAAACGGCCTGGTATCCTCACTCCCTTTCTACTCGAGTTTTTCATCTATATTATCCAAACTCCATTCTAATAACTAGAACACCAAGGAAGAGTAGACCAGCAATTATGTCCATGATGATTATAAGGAGGTAGGAAGTTGGCTTTGAGAAGGGGAGAGGAGACGGCTTATGATTCTCTCTAGGCTGGAACCTTGAGAGTCCTGCTTAAGGCACCCTGGATAGCTCCTGATTTCCCTGGTCTGAGAAGAGATTCCCTTCCCCACATCTCCCTCCGTACCCCATCTCAGGATGAGGGAAGCTGATGTGAGGCCCAGAAGGTGGTGCCTGAGAGAGAAACCGACCGTTGCACAAACCGAGGCCACCCCAGGTTAAAAGGAGCGAGTTATATGTATATCTAAACGAACACGGTGAGGACTGAAGGGATAAATGTACCACCCGAAGGATTCCCCTGGGACGCTCCCCAAGGACCAGGATTCCTTTAATGATCCCGCCAGAACAGGAGCACTCGGAGTACACCCGCCCCAAGTAAAAGAGTCTAAAGCTCTGGGCAGACCCCCTCCCTCCCTCGTCAGGGACGAGACCCATTCTCACTGCTCTCCCCCGCCTCACTCCAGGGGCCCACGGAGGAAACGAGAGAGGAATCTAGAGGTCCGTATCCCTTTCTCACTGCCTCAGCGGGGCGATCCCCGGGGAACACAATCACCGTCCCACATCTCACCACGCAATAGTCTCCTGTGCGTTCTTCAGGTATTTGCAGAGCCCCCGGATGCCCTCCTCCTCCAGACAGGCGCTCTGGGACTCTGCACGATGGGCATCTCCCGTTGAGCCTGGGGTTTCGAGTCGCCATGTCTGCTTCTGTCCAGGACTCCAGGCCCGGGTGCGGCATTTCGACCAGGGCAGTCGGAGGTGCAGAGACGCAGGACTCGCCGGCGCCCCCCTGCCGCACGCGCCTGAAATATAACGACCTGGGGGTCGGCCTCCAAGGGCGCGCCCCCGAGCGCTCCGGCCCCACCCACCTCAGCCAGGCCGTGTTTGGCTCGGCTCAACGCCAATCAGGGCTCGGCGCGGTGGGGTCGGGAGGCTCGCAGCCCGACCCTCCAGCCTAAACCCCCTGCGGGATATTCTCAGCGCTCCGCGGGTGACGCGGCTTCGCTGATGTCCCCTAGTGCGGTCCCGCGGTGACCTGAGATGTGCAGCCCTCAGCCACCGCCCCCGGGTCCTCCCGGCTCGTCTGCGCTGTTCTCGCTCCAGGCTGAGATCCGCCACTCGTCTTCGCGCCTCCAGTCTCAGCTCCCGGGCTCTCCTACCTCCCGCGGCCCCCGGCGGCCAGGCGGGGCGCGGCCACCGAGAAGTACCCCGGACTGAGACCCGAGCGGCGGCCGTGCCCGCGGCCCGACTCCCGCCTCTCCAGGGCCCTGGGCCTGCCTTCTTCTCGACTTCCCGCCCCGCACGGCCCCTGAGCGGCTGCTGCGCGGCGCACTGGTCGCCCGCAGGGAGGAAAGGAGGGGTCAGGGTCGGGGAGGAGAGACGGAGCACTGAAGGAAGAGGGGGGCAGAGTTGGCAGAGGGCGGGCGGGAGAAGGTTGCGGGGAGGGGGAGTGTTAACAGCATGAGTCCTTTCCTCGCAAGGGTAGTCTCTCTTCTCGCAGTCCGATGGCTTCTCGTGTCAGTTCCCCCACTCACCTGCTCACCCCTGCGGCGGGGCCCCTGGAAGGAGCAGGAGGGGGATTTCCAGTAGTGTATCGGGATCTCCAGATGCCACAGCATGACACAGGAACTTAGAATCTAGGTCCACTCCAGCTGACTTGATAAATGCGAATCTTGACTAACCTTGGAATCTTCCTCGTTGGCAGGTGGAAAAAAAGGACGTCATCTGTCCCTAAACAGAATAACCTGAGACCGGAGGTACTATGGCTGTGGAAATGTGGGGTCGTGGGCATCCCTGGCACTGGTCGCGCTCTTAAGTCCACTTCCAAACCTCATCCATGACCCCAAAAGCATGCATATATATATATATATATATGTGTGTGTGTGTGTGTGTGTGTCTGTGTATATATATATATAGTGGAATGGAATACATAATATATATAAATATTTAATGTAGATGTATATAACATATAAATATATGATATATATATTTTAGTGGAATGGAATAGAATAAAATAGAATAGAAAATACTAGCCTGCATCACAATGAGTGTAACTATAGTTTCATGAAACATTTGTTTCAGTTAAATATATTTGTGTATGTGGGTGTGTGTATTAGCAGGTATATATATATGTCTTTTATATATATCAGACATTTTTTAAAAAGTCTGAAAAACACTGATCCCTCTCCCTGAACTGAACTCTTGGTGCTCTTGTTCATGAACTAACCCAGAGGCCTTCTTTCCCTGAGCCCTGCCATGCCTCCCCCCTCACCTTAGACTCATCTATAAGGAAAGGAGCCCTGAGCCCAAGAGTGACCTTCCTTCAGAAGATGGCAGGTGATGGAAAGGGGCTTTGCCCTTTCTTTCTGAAAATAGCTGCTGGTTGGGGGCACCACACAATGATCAACTCATCATTTTTCAGTTACATTGAATCCTTCATTTTAACAATCACCTGCAGAAAAAATTAAATGGACTGTTGGATATTTTCCCACAAAGGAAACTCGAGCCCTGATTGCTGCACCAGCAAGTTGTACCAAACACTCAAGGAAAATATAATTGTTTCTCCAGAAGTTCTTACAGAATTTAAAAAGAGGAAATATCCCCTACTCATTTTATGAGGCTAGTATAACCTTGACACTGTAAGAAAGGAAAATTATAAGTCCATCTCACCCATGAATATAGATACAAAATTCCTAAACACACAGTTCACATGGTCTTTCACACAGGAAAAATAAATCTCATACTCAAATAAAAGAAGAAATCATTGACTTCTTGGGAAAGCTGAAGATTGTACAATAACACTTTCCTTCCAAGGGAAAGCTGAAGATTGTACAGTAACACTTTCCTTCCAAGAAAAAGAAAGGAAAAATGCATACATCTAGAAGAGAAAAAAAAAATCACAGAGCTTCCTTATGTTTCGTTTTAAAAAAAAATTGAGGGTGGTGAGTTGTGGATCTCTTTTACTGAGGAAAAGCAACCTATTTGAACCTCTGTGTTCAGCATCGTGTAACTTAAACCCCAGCTGGGTTATTCTCAGCTCTCTCCATGGGGATGCTCTCCATGTTGGCCTCATTTCTCACAAAGAATCACTCACTTCGCATCAGATGAAATTATAACTTGATCAACGTAGAAAAACAAATGATAGAACATATGGTGGAATTACAATTGTTCTTCTCCTCCAGTGGTTCTCAAAACGTGGTCTCTGGACCAACAGCTTCAGCATCACCTGGAAATGTATTAAAAATGCAAATTCTCAGATCCCAAACCAGACCTACTGAAATCAAAAACTCTGGATGGGGGACCCAAGAACCTGCAGTTTAACAAGCCCTCCAGCCATTCCAGTGCACGCAGGTCTGGGAACGCCTGCTCTGATTCAACTGCTAGTGCACTCACAGATAAGACTCCACCTGGACCCATGCCAACAGTGATTTCTAGCAAAAATCTTTAGACAAAAATCAACAACAAAATAAAATCCCGTAATTTTCTTACTTTCTAATAGCTCTGGATTTTTAGTACAAATAATTCTTTAACAACAAAGTTTTGAGCCAGCTAGGGAAAGATCACAGAGGCAAGCAGCCTCCCATTGAGGCCCACATAGAGATTCATCTTACTTGGCTTTTTAAAATTGAAAAAAAGTTTTTTTAATTGTAGGCTCATTTTTAGGCTCAACATGGAACCACCCTCCTTACATCTCCACTCTCTGCTTGGTTCAGTCATCCAACAGTCTCTTACACTCTGTCTAATAAAAAAATCCAGTAAAGCCATTTTATTCTGACATGCGAAGAGGGAAATGCCAATGATTCTCTTCTGGTTTGACAGAAAAAATTTACAAGTAATTTTACCTTCCTGCAGATGGAGATGTTCACTCAATATTATCACTAGAGCCCTAAATTATTAAGAAAGATAAGTGGTCAAAATTATAGATGTTTTTTAGGTGAAGGGTCATTTGATCAGGTCCTGTCCAAAATCTTTGAAGTCTAGGGGTTTGACAAATTATCCTTATTAGAAATATTATTTACAAAGATACTTTTATGTTAAAAAATACATTCATTGTTCTCTCCAGCCTCAGGGGCAGGAAAGAACATTTTTTCCTCCTCATCTTGCCAAGAACTTTGTCATCAGTGTTTCAAGGCTAAGAGCTGAAATTCCATTGTTGGCATTGAAAAAGAGGGAGACCTTTTTAGAAAGTAAAATTTTATAATGTGAAATGGAAAATGGAATAGTAGGATTACTTAGGCAGGAAATAGGGGACTTTTAACAACAGCCAAAAAAAAAAAAAATAGAAAAGTTAGAAGGATGGGAAAGAAAGCAAGCTTTCATTATTTGCTAGTGATATGATTGTCTACAGAGAAAACACAAAAGAATCTAAGGCATAAGAATGAATAAGAGAGTTTAGCAAAGCGGATAAATATACAAAAAATCAGTTGCATTTTTCTGTCAAAACAAAAAAGCAGAAAATGGTCCCATTTAATAACAAACTTATAGTAATCAGGAATAAAGTCTCAGAAAGAAAAGACATGCAAGATCTTAATAGGGAAAATTAAAAACATTGAAAGACATTGAAGAAATCATGTATTATTAGAGAGATACACCATAATCATGGTTAGGAAGCCTCACTATTATGAAAATGGCAGTCTTCTCCAATATGATCTATAGCCTCAATGCAATGCCTAGAAAAATCTCCGCAGGGTATTTCATGGAATTTAAACAAACTGATTCTAAAATGAAATGAAGTAGTACAAGGTTAAAAAGAGGCAACATACCACTGAAGACAAAGAGGAAGTTGGGGGAATTTCCCAACCATATGACAAGATACTTTAATGCCACTATAGTTAAGACCATGCACTACTGATGGTGGTTGGCTGTGTAGACAACTGGGCCAACAGAGTAAGATGGAAAGACAGCATCAGGCCCTCTTGTATATGAACAGTAGCCATTAAAGACAAGTGAGTAAAAGATGTACTAGTCAACAAATGACTCAGGAGTAATTGGATATACATTCATCACACATAAAAATAAATTCCAGATGAACTAAGGAGTAAGATGTTGAAGACAAAACATTAAAACTTCTAGGTGAAAATGTAAAATAAATAACTATATGACTTTAAGATGGGGAAATAGTTCTTAAACAAGATATACATGCAAATTTTAAAAGCACATAAAAATAAAAGAAAAGGTTAATAAATTTGGCCAAGTTAAAATTAGAAAGTTTAATCAAAGTACATTCTAAAGAAAGAAAACCCAAGAGCCACAAACTAGATTTATTTGCATCACACATAATTTACATAGGATTATATCCAGAATATTTAACCATAATCCAAGGGAAAGATGGTGAAAAGTTGTGAATAGAGGCCGGTCCTGTGGCGTAGCGGTTAAGTGCTCGAGCTCCGCTACTGGCGGCCCGGGTTCGGATCCCGGGCGCGCACCGACGCACCGCTTGTCTGGCCATGCTGAGGCCGCGTCCCACATACAGCAACTAGAAGGATGTGCAACTATGACATACAACTATCCACTGGGGCTTTGGGGAAAAAAAGGAGGAGGATTGGCAATAGATGTTAGCTCAGAGCCGGTCTTCCTCAGCGAAAAGAGGAGGATTGGCATGGATGTTAGCTCAGGGCTGATCTTACTCACAAAAAAAAAAAAAAAAAAAAAAAGTTGTGAATAGGCATTTCACAAAAAAGGAAATATAAATGGCCAATAAATATGGAAAAAATTACGCACATCCACAATGGTTATCAGAGAATTGTGCGTTAGAACTGCCTTTGAAATTATATTTTAAAATGACTAGATGGGCAAAAATCGAGATGTATAGCATTATCAAGTTTACTTGGCAAGGGGCTCAGGGTGCCAAAGTGGGAGAAATGAGCCAGAAAGAAGGTGCTAGTTTCAAGGATTGAGGAAAGAACACAGGAAAGAGCAGGACATCAAATTTGAAAATAAACAGTAAGTGAGAAAAATGCTGTGGGGATTGAAATAAAATAACCGAACAATTAAAAGTAAGTGACCCAGAGGCAGAGACTTTTGCACTCAGAAACAGGCCTGGTTTGCCCATTAGTCACAGGGGAGCAGTGACTCCATTGTTAAAATGCTAAGGATTTCTGGCACAGTTTGCTGGGAACTCTGACCAATGGTGAAGGAGCCTGGAATTGGCACTAGTTAGAATCAAAGAAAAATAAGGCACAGCCAGGGAGGGGGGAGGCGGAGAAGCAAGGGTAGTGAGCCAGGGTCTAATAGAGCACATTCAAGGATTAAACTGCTGCCCGGTCCTGACAGATTTTAGATCCCAAAGGAAACAAATTGAGGGTCATAGTGTCCTCCAGCCACAGTGAAGCGAATCTGGCCACCCATTTCAAAGTGCCTCTGCAAGACAATACAGGTGGTTATTAGAAACCAAATCTGGCCTCTGGGGAAAAGAAATAGCATATCACAGGTGAGAATATCTGGGTCTCACCTATTGGCCAGATCAGAGTTGGGGCCCAATTGGGGGTGGAATAGAGTAAAAGGAATGGGCAAAAAAGTTGGGCAAAGACATAGGGTCATTGAGGCAGCCTGGTCAGAGATATTGGAGGTTAGGCCAGGCTGCTGTAGCCACTTATGGTGGCTCTTCCTTCAGAATACTCATGCCTCCTTTCATCCAAGGGGACTCCGGGGAAGGAATGTGTGCAGATCCAGTGCATATTACTACAATTGTACTTCACTTAAGGAAAAATAATATATATTTTATTTATCAGTGTGTGTGTCTCTTCTATTATTCTAACCATAATGGACCGCCATTGTTCAATTTCAGTAGTGGTATATCTCAGGCCAGTTTACAGAAAAGCAGGTTATAAGATAACATAACCAGAAAAGCATTGCTCATAAGAGCATAATATGTATAATCTGGCATTCATGAAGTTCAACTTTAGACTGAACTAGTTAATAAATATTTGTAGCTACAAATGTAGCTTAATGAATGTTTCCTTTTGCCCTTCAGTTTCAGACTGACATTGATGGTGATTTTTTTTCTACTACCACCTAGTGGAAATTCATTCTTTTTCAAAAGTGCAAATTTTTTTTTTTTTTATCATTTAAAAAATTCCAGAGCCAGCCCTGATGGCCTAGTGGTTAAAGTTTGGTGCTCACCGCTTCTGTGGCCCAGGTTTGCTTCCCAGTCACGGAACCACACCACCCGTCTGTCAGTTGCCATGCTGTGGTGGCAGCTCACACAGAAGAACTAGAATGACTTACAACCAGGATATACAACCATGCACTGGGGCTTTGGGGAGGAAAAAAAAAACAAAAGAGGAAGATTGGCAACAGATGTTAGCTCAGGGTGAATCTTTCCCTGCAAAAAAAAAAAGAAGAAAATTCCACAGTAAATACCTGATTTCATTCTTCTTATAAAAGGTTCAGGGGCCGGCCTATGGCATAGTGGTTAAGTTCAGCGCACTCTGCTTTGGTGGCTGGGATTTGCAGATTTGGATCCCAGGTGCAGACCCACACCACTCATCAGCCATGCTGTGGCAGCTACCCACATAAAAAGCAGAGGAAGACTGGCAACAGATGTTGGCTCAGGGCTAATCTTCCTCAGGGAAAAAAAAAGGTTCAAACCATACAAAAGAGCATGGGATAAAAGGTCCTCCTTTGTCATTCTCCCCTCCCCATTCTACTCTGCCTTCCAAAGGTAACTGCAATGTGGCATGTAACCTGCTAGGACATCTCCTGTGATTTTACATATACAGGTATATGGCGGGAAAAGTTCTGAGACATTAACTGAAGATTGTTTTGTCTTTCTACTATAGAGGCAGATAAGGCATTTTCCCTTCATGCCTTGGGTGACCACAGCAAAACACAGATGATCAAAATAGTAAGCTCTTTAATTTAAAAATTTACTTTTGAAAACCATGGTAGAGGCAAGATGAAAGAAAGGCCTAGTAAATATCTGAAGTCAATGCTTATGCCATAAGTAATAGATTTGGGAGGGACTCTCGATGTTAGAGCTAGTTTTCCTGCTTTGGAGTTGATGCAGAATCCATGGGCTGAGGAGACAGAGTCTCAGGGACTGGTTTGGGGGTCTTGCACCCTGTAATCCTTTTAAATTGTGTCACATATGATCAGTGCTCCCCACAACGAGTATATCTTGGGCATACAAGGGCAGGACCAGAGGCAATGTATTGTCTCTCTTTTACAGAATATTACAAATTTGAACCAAATAAAAATATTTCTGACAGTTTCTAAACTGTCTTTGCTTAATATTCAATAGAACGGACTGTCATCCATACTGGAGAAGGCAATGAAAGAAGGGAATAAGGAATTCTTGAGAGACAGGGTGCTAGAGATCCAGGCACCATGATAAAGAGTCATTGTTAATTACTCTTGGGTTACCGCTGTGAAGCAAAGAAGACATCCCAGGTGCCTTAGTTTTGTTTCTTCCAGAAGCAGTCCCTGAGACAAGGACATGAGTGAAAGCAGTTTATTTTGGAGGTGCAGGAACATTCAGTGGTAGATTGGAGGAAGTTAGATAGGGAAAGGACGGCAGCCAATAAAGGGTGAATGACTGGAGATTAATCCCATGAGGAGACTCTGGGAAATGACATGGAACACACACCTTAGAGTTATCCCGACTGAGGCGTGAAGGAGATGGGTAATTACACACTAACTTCCATCAGTCATTGGTTGAAGACAGCTTCCCGACATATGAATTCCTTGTCCCTCCTAATCTGCTGTGAGTGTGGCAGAGTAGCCTCCATGACTTTTGAGAAAGCTTTCAGGAAAGAGATGCAAATGCTGGTAGTAAGAAGTCCAGCCAGTGTGCACTGCAGTGGTAAGGCGAAAGGAATGTGGGCAAGCCTTGGTAGTGTTGGCCACATTTGGTCTGTTTCCAGTTGGAAAACCCTTAGATGGGCTTGGGCCTGTGGTCTCTAAGATCCATAATATCTGCCATCAGAATTGAAGGGTTTCCTGCCACTATGGAAAACAGTATGGAAATTCTTAAAAAAAAAAAAAAAAGAAAGAATAGAATTACCATATGATCCAGTTATTCCACTTCTGGGTATTTATCCAAAGAACATGAAAACACTAATTCAAAATGATATATGCTCCCCTATGTTCATTACAGTATTATTCATAATAGCCAAGACTCGGCAACAACCTAAGTGCCCATCAACGGATGAATGGATAAAGAAGATGTGGTGTATATATATATATATATATATATACGTATACACACACGCACACATATACACAATGGAATACTACTCAGCCATAAAAAAGATGAAATCTTGCCATTTGCTACAACATGGATGGAACTTGAGGGCATTATGCTAAATGAAATGTCAGACAGGGAAAGCTAAATACTGTATGATTTTACCCATATGTGGAAGATAAAAACAAGAACAACAACTAACAAACACATAGACACAGAGAATAGATTGGTGGTTACCAGAAGGGAAGAGGGGAGAGTGAAAGGGGTGAACGGGGTAAAAGGTCACATGTGTATAGTGACGAATGGCAACTGGTCTTTGGGTGGTGAAGATGATATAGTCTACACAGAAATTGAAATATAATGATGTACACCTGAGATTCATACAATGTTATAAACTAATGTTACCTCAATAAAAAATTAATTAAAAAAAAGAAGTGAAGGGTTTCCTATCATCGTTTTCTTCAATTGTGCCCAAGCTTTCAGTAAAATCTTATTAAATGTTACAGTCTTACCTAGCAGTCCCTTCATTAATAAGGACTAGGCCTAGGTCCAAATATTGGAGGATGTATTAATTTGCTAGGGCTGCCATAACAAAGTACCACAGACTGGGAGGCTTAAACAACAGAAATTTATTTTCTCGCAGTTCTGGAAGCTAGAAGTCCGAGGTCAAGATGTCAGCAGGGTTGGTTTCTTCCGAGGCTTCTCTCCTTAGCTTGGAGATGGCCATTAGCTTGGAGATGGCCATCTTCTCCCCGTGTCTTCACATGGCCTTCCCCCTGTGTGTGCCTGTGTCCTAATCTCTTCTTCTTGTAAGGACACCAGTCATATTGCATTAGGTCCCCCTCTCATGACCTCATTTTAACTTAATTACTTCCTTAGAGACACTGTATCCAAATAAAGTCAGATTCTGAGGTACTGGGAGTTAGGACTTCAACATCTGAATTTTGGAAGTTTGGGGGTAGGGATACAATTCAGCCCATAACAGAGGAAAATAGGGCAAAGGGAAAATCCTCCTCCTCCATCTCCCTTCCTTTTTTCTCCCAAAGCCCAAGGTGACTGAGAGCACATTGGATCATGGGATTTTGGTGGTCCTGCAACTCAAGAGATATCAGGCTTCAACATGAGCAGTGAGAAATAGCAGAACTGAGAATAATGGTCTAGAGCTGGGTCACACAAGAGTTAGGCCAAATTTTCCAGGCTTATTTGCAACAGAATTGCAGATCTAATTTTGGTTCATTCAAACTTTCTGTTGATCCACTTCCTAAAAATATATTGAAAAACTGTACACATACTTTTTAAATTAAACTTTTATTTTGAGACAGTTGTAAATTCACACGCAGTTGTAAGAAATAATATAGATACAGCCTTTTACCCTTTACTCAGTTTCCCACAGTGGTAACATCTTGCAAAACTAGTACAGCATCGCAACCAGGATATTGACATTGATACAGTCCAGATACAAAATATTTTCTTTACTCCAAGTATCCCTCATCTTGCCCTCTTATGGTCACCCCACCTTCCTCCCACCCCCACCACCTCCTTAACCATAGGCAACCACTAATCTTTTCTACATTTCTATACTTTTGTCATATCATGTTTGTTATACAAATTGAATCATACAGTATGTATGGCTTCTTCTGTCACCATTCCAACAGGGGTAGGTGGGTGAACTTCATTACTGCCTGGTAGGGGA